TCCGTGTGGCTCCCTATGTCTCCACCGGCCGCATGATCGACCATTTGGTGGAGACCATCGTAGAAGAATTGGTTGAGCACACCGAGGCAAAAGTGGTGATGTGGGCATCGGAGTTGATAGCCCTTGAATCGTTCCCAAGCCTCGTGGAAAGTCTCACCGATATTTTGGCTAAAGCTAGCCATTTGAGTCCGGAGGTCGGTGGTCTTTTGATGAGAGTAGTACTTGCTCATGAACTTCTCGTATACGGCTTCCCACATGTTGAGTGAGCTCGGAAACAATGTCATGAACCAAGTCTTGGCTCGGTCTTTCAAGGTATATGGAAAGCACCTCATTCGGAGTTGGTTCTCGGTTAGGCCTTGGAGGGGAAATGTGTTGACGGTTGCATAGAAATCTCGAATGAAGTTGAGGGCATCTTCTTGGGCGAGGCCATAGAATGATGAAAGTTGGTTTAGGTGGATGGTCTTAAGGTCGTAGTTTCGGGCCGTCTCCCCGAGCACGAGGTACGAAGTGTTATCTCCAATGATAGGTCGTGCGAAGTACCTCATGTTCGTGGGAGGTTGTGGAAGTTGATCTTCTCGTCCCGCCATTGTTTCGGTTTCGGGTTGCGGTTGTGGCCTCTTCAATATTAAGCTCAACGAAAAGTTCGATCGATGGTGTCTCCTCTATGGGTGCACGCCTTCGTCTACCTCGCATAAACACCAACAACAACTATACCCGTGAACGTATCAATGGGAAACGAGATAAAGCTCAAGAAACAAACACAAATTATCGACAAAAACGCAAGAGAAATCAAGAGAAACACGGAAATTAAGCAAAAAGCACAAAAATCAAGAGAAACACAAGAAAAAGAGACAATCAAATAGCAAACTAGGCGTCCTACTTGCCTTCCCCGGCGACGGCGCCATTTGTTTAGTATAGATTTGATGGGCAAAGGTATCGAGTTACTCGACTCGGGTCGATCTCGAAGGAAGGCTATTCGGAGATTTATCTACTAAATGATTG